ACAGGGGTGAATAATAGCACTGACATTCACAAGCAAAATAAAGCAAAAGTGCACATTTGAGGAAAAGCTAGCTTTTAAAATGGTGAATGAGGAGAGTGGCGAAGAGCTGAACTAGTCAGGAACACCAAGATTTCAAACAGGCATGGGGCCATACAACTGAGCTCCAGTTTAATGTTCCCGTGGCCCAGGTGAAATTCTGTAGGATTTGGTAAAGTGCACAGAAGAGTTTTATAGACTACCCTTAATGGTAAAGAAGACAATAAAAAAGTAACTTCTATCAATCTAGAAGAATACAGATTTCTCCTCCCTAAACATTCACTGAAACAGAATCATGAGATCATATTTCTTGCCACCGAAGTATGTTCCTTGGGATTCACATTGAACACAGTGAACTGCTGTGAATCCAATGATGAACTCTACCAAACAATGGAATTGTCTGAAATTGTCTTCACTTTGTCCCCATCTTTCTGAAACACACATTCAGATAACTCTGTTTTAAGGATTCTGCTGTAAAAACTGTAGCCATCATGGGAACCAGCAGTTAGCGTAATGGCTATGTTGCTGGACTCCCACATAGTTGACCGCGGTTTGCATCCCAGACCCGGTGACTTATAATTCATGCTGGGCGCATGTGCGTGCATGCCCAAGATCCCGAGAGGAGAATGGAGGAGAAGGGATTGCGGCGTGACCATCCCCCCTGGGGGGTGATTTCTTGCTTTCTGTCTCTCTGTCTCTCTCTGTCTGTCTGGCAAGCACATGTGCCCTATAGCGAAAAAACCTCTCCAAAAAAAAAAAAAATTGTAGCCATCATTAGAAAAGCACAGTCTATAATGACTAATGTAGGTCTCATGATCTGCACTGTGAGAATGCCCTTAGGGACCAGCAGGTGGCATGGTGATTAAGGTATTGGACTCCTACATGGCAGACTGAGGTTTGAGTCCTGGACTCAGTGGCTTTAAACTCAGCCCAGCACATGTGCCTGCATGCCCAAAATCTGCAAAGGAGAATGGAGGAGAGATTGTGACATGGCCATCCTCCCCGAGGGATGATTTCTCACTTTCTCTTTCTCCATCTCTCTCTATCTCTCTAGCAAGTCCATGTACAGAATAGCAAAAATCTCTCCAAACAACAACAAAAAGAATGCCCTTAGTTTACAAATCAATGACTGGAGGACTGGGAGAGAGAAATCTTGCAGAGTAAAACTATTTGAATTTTATGTACAAGCCAATATTATAAAAAACAATTCTTAAACATTAAAGTTCCCTTAATCACTGAAAGCTGTTAACTAATCAATAAATAAATAACAGAAATAATAATTAAAAAACCAGAATCCTTAGTTCATTTTTAAAAAATCCAACTAAGACCACCCAAGCTATATTTACTCCTCTTCCGAAAAGTGATGTAAATGTACAATAGAAAATGAAATTGGCGACTTGATCAAACTCACTTCAAGTGAGAGCTGCAGCTGAATGTTACATGAATATCAGACAATAACAACCTGTTTGAAATTACTATTGGGTATAATTCCAAAATTTATGCATTTTTCATCTCTTAGGCATAATGCCAAAGGCTAAAAGAGCAGAACATGAAAAAGCCAGACCTGAATTATGTTCTAAACTCTGTTGAGTTTAATTTTACTTACAAAGCAGAATGTTAGTTTGCCACTTAACTTTGCCCCCTTATCTTTCTGTAAAAGCACTTGGCTTCTTGTTATCAGCCACTAAATTGGTGGTATTCATTTGGAAAGCGCTCATTTTAGGAACATCATTCAAAATTACTAGGCAAGTACACACAAGAAATACACATAATCTACACCAGACCATAGCAAGGAAAGCAAGTGATTGTCTATATATTGGACTTCAGTGTGGGGTGTGCAGTTCTAAGAGCTGTGTAACTTGAGAATGCACAGAGGGAAATTTTTAGCTAAATGAAATGCACTGTTTTGAAAGGATGAGTCATTTAAAAAGTTTACTTCATAATAACATAATATAGCTGCACATTTTTGACATACATATGGAGAAAAGATGAAATAGCTTTCTGAACAAAAACGGCACACGAAAATGAACAAGCTGCTGCTTGCCCAGCGACACATGTCCTTTAAAACAACATTTGACTTAAAACTGAAGATGGATGCACTACCAAAAACCCAGAAACATTCGATGATATACATAACTAAGGCAAAGAGATGACAGAGCTTACTATTTCACTTAGGCTTACTCTTAAAGATTTCTGTAGTCTTAAGGAATTCTTAAAAACTATAATCGTGAAACACTACAGATGAATAAAAGACCAGTTAACCTAGAATGTAAATTTCTTGTTATAGATTATAAAATCTGAATCTGTAGAGAACATGCAAAAGGTCTGAGCATACAGAACTCATGCCACATAAAATGTAATTATATTAGATAAAAAAGAAGAGGTATAAGGTGGGACACTGATTGGGTTGTAGTTCTGGTCTTGGATGGTGAGTTTATGGTGTGTTCACTAAGTTGTGGACCTGGATAGTGAGAAGTTGTGAAAATGTCTGTAGGCATATAGTACATCCACAAAATGCTATAGCTAAGGAAGGACACGAGAAAGGGCAAGAGGGCAGAAGGGAGAAAATGCATGCTAGGATATGCTTTTCTCATACTGCAGAATATGGTATTAAAGGAAATGGATGCTCCAGTCATTTGCTTAATTCAAATAAGATAAAACTTCATAGGATGGCAGAATGTGGCGGCCTGGCTCATAATTAGAAACTAGAAACCACTTAACTGTCATTTATGCGAAGAAAGACTGTGTGTTGACATTTTCAGACTTAAAAAAAAATCCCTGTCACTTAACAATTGCAAATGTCACCATCTTACACATGCAGTTTTCCTGTTTTTGGAAAGCAGAATTTAGAAGTTACTGGAGGAAAAAAAGATGTCTGGGCTTCCTCTAGCTTTTCATTTTAAAAACACATGTACACACAAACAAACTGTATCTCTGTGGTCGAGGGTCTCAGTATTTCTTCTGTTTGGAGTTTGTGCTTGGCATTAAGTTGGTTAAACATTTAGTGACCACTTATTACTAAAGGTGTTTTGGACCTTCAAGGTGGCTCTGTGCGTGTTGCCTGTTGCTAAGGAGCAGTTTTCCATGTAATCTTTTCAAAGACAAAAGGTTAAGCAAAAATGACATATATTTAAAAATTGAAAGTAAAATGCACAGTACTGATGTGCTCAAAGTCCATGCATTTAAATTCCTTTGTATGATAATTTATGGTGATCATGTCTTCAGACTGCGCTATTAGCATACTCACCCCTAACAAGAAGTTCTGCCTCATCTGACACACTGTCTGCTGTGGTCTGTACCCTGCAGCCATATCTCCCAGCATGCATCAGAAGGATGTTCCTGATCATTAAATCTGCAGAGGATGCTTGCTGAAAGAGGGATGAAGTGCCAGTTTAAAATGTTGCAAATCTGCCTAGTTCAAGGTGGTTTAAGGGGGAACTTTGCATATTCAAAGGGCCCATTTCTTGGCCTTAACAATTTATATGACAACAATTCAGAAAGCAAACATGCCCTATTCTAAGGAACACATGGAAGTTATGTTTTTTTAACAATTGCTAATAAAGGGCTTGAACATTCAATATTGCATATAATGTTACCAGCGAAGATATTTAAGAAATATTTAAAAATGCACAAACAAATCCATATCTTTAAAAACATAGGAAAAATAATCAGTGAGCAAAACTTTTTGTTTTGCTGTTTAGAGACAAGGCTATTTTGGGGGCAAGAATATTGTATTGAATGGAATAGCTAGTTGTTGGGAAATTAATTATGAGAAGACACCAGTCAAAAGATTATCTCATGTGGCTTTATTGAGTAGTTCCTTTTGTAAGCTCTGGGAGTAACAGAAAGAAACAGTGCTTGGGTGAAAGATTGCGGGTCCCACAGCCATGTGTCTTTACTTAACAAAGATGTATTCCTCCCATAACCACCACCATCAGGAAGCAGGGTGAGCCTGAATCTTGGTTAATCAATGCAGTTACAAAACACAAAGGAGGCTCAAAACACCTGATTCTTGTTGGAAGCAAGATGATTTGAACACAGTTGAAGAATAACCACAGTCAAGGAAATCAATAAATACCAGGGAGCATATCTCTTGGATGTATTAGTTCATGAAATCAGTGATAATCCCATGCTTTAAAATGACTGGTACGAACCTTTCATTACTAAATGTTGATTTTCATTTATTCTGTCAGGACGACGGATCTCTTTCATTGTGACCATGTAAAGATCTGATATTTACAATGAAAAATCAGGCATTTGTTTTCAGGTAATAACATATCAAATATCCAGTAATCCCTTCAATTTCCATGTTTCGATCAAAGAATAACTGACTGGAATGAGGGAAAAGGCATGCGGCTTGCAATGACATTTTCAAGGAACTCAAAGATTTTCCCAATAATAATTGAGCACATGAAAGAATAGTTAATGAAAGCCATAGAGAAGCAACCCAGATTATATTTTTATCTTTTGATGAAATGAAAGCCTATTAGCTTCAAAAAATAGTGCATTTGTCTTTAAAAAGCTTTATCCCAATGATTATTTAAGACTTGCTGTTTTATTTTGAAATAGACCAGTGCATTTTTATTGGGTTGTCGGGAAAATCTTGATGCATTTTTGCATAGAAAAACAGGAAAATATGTCATGGCTATACTGACGGTCGAGGGTCTCAGTATTTCTTCTGTTTGGAGTTTGTGCTTGGCATTAAGTTGGTTAAACATTTAGTGACCACTTATTACTAAAGGTGTTTTGGACCTTCAAGGTGGCTCTGTGCGTGTTGCCTGTTGCTAAGGAGCAGTTTTCCATGTAATCTTTTCAAAGACAAAAGGTTAAGCAAAAATGACATATATTTAAAAATTGAAAGTAAAATGCACAGTACTGATGTGCTCAAAGTCCATGCATTTAAATTCCTTTGTATGATAATTTATGGTGATCATGTCTTCAGACTGCGCTATTAGCATACTCACCCCTAACAAGAAGTTCTGCCTCATCTGACACACTGTCTGCTGTGGTCTGTACCCTGCAGCCATATCTCCCAGCATGCATCAGAAGGATGTTCCTGATCATTAAATCTGCAGAGGATGCTTGCTGAAAGAGGGATGAAGTGCCAGTTTAAAATGTTGCAAATCTGCCTAGTTCAAGGTGGTTTAAGGGGGAACTTTGCATATTCAAAGGGCCCATTTCTTGGCCTTAACAATTTATATGACAACAATTCAGAAAGCAAACATGCCCTATTCTAAGGAACACATGGAAGTTATGTTTTTTTAACAATTGCTAATAAAGGGCTTGAACATTCAATATTGCATATAATGTTACCAGCGAAGATATTTAAGAAATATTTAAAAATGCACAAACAAATCCATATCTTTAAAAACATAGGAAAAATAATCAGTGAGCAAAACTTTTTGTTTTGCTGTTTAGAGACAAGGCTATTTTGGGGGCAAGAATATTGTATTGAATGGAATAGCTAGTTGTTGGGAAATTAATTATGAGAAGACACCAGTCAAAAGATTATCTCATGTGGCTTTATTGAGTAGTTCCTTTTGTAAGCTCTGGGAGTAACAGAAAGAAACAGTGCTTGGGTGAAAGATTGCGGGTCCCACAGCCATGTGTCTTTACTTAACAAAGATGTATTCCTCCCATAACCACCACCATCAGGAAGCAGGGTGAGCCTGAATCTTGGTTAATCAATGCAGTTACAAAACACAAAGGAGGCTCAAAACACCTGATTCTTGTTGGAAGCAAGATGATTTGAACACAGTTGAAGAATAACCACAGTCAAGGAAATCAATAAATACCAGGGAGCATATCTCTTGGATGTATTAGTTCATGAAATCAGTGATAATCCCATGCTTTAAAATGACTGGTACGAACCTTTCATTACTAAATGTTGATTTTCATTTATTCTGTCAGGACGACGGATCTCTTTCATTGTGACCATGTAAAGATCTGATATTTACAATGAAAAATCAGGCATTTGTTTTCAGGTAATAACATATCAAATATCCAGTAATCCCTTCAATTTCCATGTTTCGATCAAAGAATAACTGACTGGAATGAGGGAAAAGGCATGCGGCTTGCAATGACATTTTCAAGGAACTCAAAGATTTTCCCAATAATAATTGAGCACATGAAAGAATAGTTAATGAAAGCCATAGAGAAGCAACCCAGATTATATTTTTATCTTTTGATGAAATGAAAGCCTATTAGCTTCAAAAAATAGTGCATTTGTCTTTAAAAAGCTTTATCCCAATGATTATTTAAGACTTGCTGTTTTATTTTGAAATAGACCAGTGCATTTTTATTGGGTTGTCGGGAAAACCTTGATGCATTTTTGCATAGAAAAACAGGAAAATATGTCATGGCTATACTGACAACCCAATATAAAAATCATGGATGTAGGATTAATTTCTAAAAATCTGGATTTTTTTTTTGTTCTTAGCATTCATAGAAAGGATGCAAAATTATTGTTTTTTTTTTTAATCAGTCAAGTGATGTATATTTCTTTCAATGAGTTACTTTACCATCTACTTCGTTTTATATTGTTTCTTTTCTCCCCTCCCCCCTTTTTGTTAATCTTATTATAGAAACTTATAAGTTTGTTAAATTTTTCTCCCATGGAATAATTGTTAAGACATGGTCTGGTTTAGTCATTTACAAGAAAATGCTTCATGGTGAGAATGCATTAAAATGTCATAACAATTATTTCAAGGAATGTGATATTTGTCCAGTGACTATTGTACACTGTTAATCTCCTTAGGATAAACTGTTACTCTTAAATTCTAGTAAAATTTATTTTCTCATTTCCACTAGACTTAGTGCTTACTATTTTAAAATGTGAAATAGGAAACTTTACGATGTTTTGATATTTTTTAGTGGAGAAACAAAGGCAAAATGTAAACGTAATTAAGCGATAATTCAGCTTCATATCAACACAGTTTAATACCTTATGAATGAGGTCTATATACTTACCACTATATGTAGTGTGAGCCTATCTTAGATTCTTTCCCTCTGGATTTCTCTTTTAACAGGGTTCTCAGTTGAATCAATTAGAAATCATGTGTACATTAAGCCCAGAATGGGGCCTGTGTCTAGTGATAAAGTCAAAATCAGGGAGGATTTAAAATTTTTCTTTCTAGAAATAACACTGTTTGAAAGGCTTTGCCTGTTTTTTTTTTTTTTTTTTTTTTTTTGTCTGTTATTTTTTGTTTGTTCTTTAACATCACAAACTGTATTGGTGGCAGTTACACAGTACAAAACTGCTGATTAGAAGCCATTTTTAGGCTCACAATTTTAAAAAAGTACTTAGTAAAGGCACATTCCTGTAATTAAATAATTGAGTAGCTCATTTTCCCACTTTTTTTCCCTCTTAAATAATTTCTTTTCTTTTTTTTCTTTTTTCTTTCTTTCTTTCTTTTTTTTTTTTTTTTTTTGTCCTAGAGAAACGTCCTAACATCTTTTTCTTTCTGTGGAATCACAGTGAAAGAAGAGTATAATAGGGTGAAGAAAAGACTTGATTAAAAATCACACAGAGATCCAAGGATTTCAGAAAGCTGTTGTAGTGATTATCTTTCCTAAGCTATACTTCACTGGGTTCCTGCAATTAATAGTGTACAGTGCTCCATGAATGGGTCAAACGTGCGTCACCATTGGTCAGGAGCAAAAGTGTCCAGCCTGTGGCTTAGCTAACCATACCAAGGCCTGACTATTGGAAAGGAGTTGATATCTTTTCATTTGGGGCTCATCCCATCTCTTATAGGTTATGTCTGCATCATATTTTCAAAATTATAAATAAGGAAGATTAAATGTAAAATGAATGGATTGTGAACACTAAACCCAAATTACCCTTTCAGTAGATTTACTGATCTTTCAAGAGAAGTAATGAGAAGAATTCACATGGGAGCCCATTACACTTAATCTCAGCCCACAGTACACAGTTCCTGAGAGAAAACCTCCACAATTTAGTGCACTTTTAATGAAATGGTTACTTACAGCAGATGCTTGCTTTCTTAAACTTAAACCTCATTATCCCTTATGAATTAACTCTCTCTTTCCTTGTTTTCTTTGACATTTGCTTTTTTCCCCCTTTGTTTTCTTCGTTCTTTGGCTTTCTTAGCAAATTGTATGATATTATTTGTTGCTTCGAAAGAACTTCCCTATAACTGGTGCTTATACCTGCCAGTGCATGTCACATCGGGGGGACTCAATAAACTCTTGTTAAGTGAATGAATAAATTACATCTTTCTAAGAAAGAGGCTGTACTTTGTGAGAGCAGCAGAATGGCTGTCCCCTTACGTTTCTTGGTCACATAGTGACATGTGAGCAATTGCTGCATTATTGTGACTTTATGGCTTTGAAATAAAACAGGAAACTGTCATTTTTCTACCCAAGTCCAGTTACTCACTAATTTCTATTTTGCCTAAATGTCCTACTCATCCAATGTAAGACAGTCAGTCAGATTCTTTAAAAGCATAGGAAGCTTGTTTAATTTTCCTAGGCAAACTTTTGCTGGTGTTGCCTTTAGGATACAATCTAGTCTCTTTATTTCAACATAGAAGACTCTTAGAGCTTGACTTTGTCTCCTGCATCCTGTCTTTGGATACCAACCCATGTTCACCCAAACAGCAGTACTTTGTATCACTCTGCTGTCAGCACAGCATTTTCTTGTGTAGCAGATGCTTTTTCTCCCTTCCTGGCCTAGAAAGATACTTCAGACACAGCTCAAATGCCTTCTTTTTTTGTAAGGCCTTTCTACTCTCTCCCTAAGCATTAGTAGTTTATGCTCCAGTGTAACTTTGCCCTTGTCCCTGAACTAGCACTTGCCATTTTTTTAGGAAATCTTAACCCAAGGTCCACTGTGGGCACTCCTAGAGATGAGCTAGGCACTGGTGCATCAACAGACACTTGATCATTAAGCAAGCTAATAAATGCATGAATGGATTCCTTCACTTCTGTGGCTATAGATACTTCTTACCCTGTTTCTTCTCTCAAAGAAATAGAAAGGAAAATAGGAAAAGACTTTGGAGGAAGACAGTGGAGAAAAAAGCACTTAAAGAGTGTATACAGGTTCAGGAAGAACACAGAATTGAGCAAATCCCCGCTCCACCAGTTATTAGATATTCAACTTGGGAAAAGTACTGTATTGCTTAGAGCTTCTCTAAGAGCTTTAATGGGATAATATGGGTAAAGCCTACGGCAGTGGGTCTGGCACACAGTAAGTCTTTGATAAATATTATCTCTTAAAGGGCACTGTAATTATACTCTTAGCCAACAGGAATATTTCTTTAATTGGTATTCATTCCCTCACCAAGCTGGTATCAATGTTTTCCATAGCTAAAGTGAGTTTTTTTGATAAGTACCTAGCTTTATTTCAGATCTAAGTGTTCTCCCATCCCCTTTCTCTCTGACAGTGCAATAGGGAACCACTGGATTCAGAGTAAGACCTGAATTCTAGCCTTAGTTCAGCCTCTTCCTAGCCCTGGTACTTGAGAGTATTACTTTGCTGGGATAAGAACACCTGCACTGTCTTTCTCATGGAGAATTATGGGAAATTGAATGAAACAAGGTACATTTGTGAACTATTGGGAGATGTTTCAGAAGTGTAAAGTGCTCTTAAAGCACTTTTTTCCAGCAGGTTATAGCAGAACATTATGATGTCATTAAGCACTTGGGAGAAGGCTTCGGAAAGAGATAATTTGATCAAGGTAACTTGGTTTTCTCATAAACAGTGGACTTATGCTGCATAACGCAGTCAGAAAGAGGCTGGGTATGACAGTTAATGTGCCCCTCCCTGTTTAGGGTTTCTTTAACTTTCTTAAGGAGCTCCCAGCAGCCCCATCTCCCCATAAACATACTTATAAACCATTCTTCTCTGTAAAGCAAAGTAATGTGGCATATAATTCCTAGGAGATATAATTTTTTAAAATTTATGTAACATAAAAGTGTATCAGTTAAGAGATATGGATTATTAGATATGATTAATGTTATTGACATAAGATCTTAGATAAAAGATTTCCAAGTAATGGTATTTCTTTTTCCCATAGGAAGTCTTTTTACCACAATAAAAAAAATATACATATACATATTTT